TGGGCCCCTCTTCCCTCTAGGGCTTTATCCCACGGTATTCTACTGAGCAGATCCCTTAGGAGGCCAAAGTCTGCTGTCCTGAAGTCCAGGGTAGCGAGCTTGCTGCACACCCGCCTTGCTGCCCTAAGGATCGTAAACCTCACCATTTTGTGGTCACTGCAGCCAAGGCTGCGCTTGACTTTCACATTCCCCACCAGCCCCTCCTTGTTGGTGAGAACAAGGTCCAGCATCGCACCTCTCCTCGTGGGCTCCTCTATCACTTGGAGGAGGAAGTTGTCCTCAGCGCATTCCAGGAATCTCCTGGCTTGCCTGTGCCCTGCTGTGTTGTCTCTCCAACAGATGTCGGGGTGGTTGAAGTCCCCCATGAGGACCAGGGATTTTGAACGTGAGGCTTCTCTGATCTGCCTATAGAGGGCCTCATCCGATCGCTCGTCCTGGTCTGGTAATGTTGCCCGTCCCTGCCCTGCCTTTAATCTTGACCCATAAGCTCTCCGTGGGCTCCTCATCCATTCCCAGGAGGAGCTCCATGCACTCCAGCTGCTCTTTGTCATAGAGGGGTACACCTCCTCCTCGTGTCCCCTGCCTGTCTTTCCTAAAGAGCCTGTATCCTCCCACCTCAATATTCCAGTCATAGGAGCTGTCCCACCACGTCTCCATGATGCCGATGATGTCATAGCCCTGCAGACGTGCGCACATCTCTAGCTCCTCTTGTTTGTTCCCCATGCTATGTGCATTTGCACAGAGGCATTTGAGCTGAGCCCCCAGTGAGGCTGCACCGTTGCTGCCGCACAGCTCCCTGTTCCATACCCTCACTGACTCAGCAGAGTTAAGGTCCTTGCTAGCACACCGTCCACTAGCAGATGAGTTGTCACTCCCAGGCTTTTCACTAGCTAGCCTGGTTTTATCCCCTTCCCTCTTCCAATCTAGTTTAAAGCCCTATCAACGAGCCCTGCTGACTCCTGAGCTAGGATCCTCTTCCCCTTTTGCCACAGGTGTACCCCATCTGTTGCCAGCAGGCCTGGTGCCATGTAAACTGACCCATGATCAAAGAACCCCAAATTTTGCCTATGACACCAGGCTTGGAGCCAGGTATTGATCTGTTGACTCCTCCTGTTTGTTCCCTCATCTTCTCCTGCAACCAGAGGGATGGAGGAGAACACTACTTGCGCTCCTGATCCCTTAACCTGTCACCCCAGAGCCCTGAAGTCCCTTTGGAGTTCCCATGCGCTTTTGTCCCTAACCTCATCACTGCCAGCCTGAACAACTAAGAGCGGGTAATAGTCAGAGGGCTGTACCAGACCAGGGAGTTTCCTAGTGATATCTCTCACCCGGGCCCCAGGGAGGCAGCAGGCTTCCCTGTGGCATGGGTCTGGTCACCATATCAGGCCCTCTGTTCCCTTCAGAAGGGAATCGCCTGTGACAATTACCTTTCTTTATTTCTGTGTGGAGGCAGTCATGATGCGTGGGACTGCCTGCCTAGCTCTGGGCAACTCCATGCGTGGGCCTTCGTCTGCGTTGTCATTTGCCTGGCCCTCCTGTTCCAGAGCCTCATACCTATTGTGTAAGGGCACCTGGGGTGGAGAGGGAGGCCGGGCGGGGATTCGCCTGCGCCCCGAGCAGGGATATGCATGACTCTATATAGATAAACATATGGGTTCATATACTTCACTGTGGCAAGATACAGTAACGAAAGCCTCGATCCACAAACGTATGTTTGAAGTGCATTGACTTCAGGGCTTTAAAATTAAATAGCTGTGAAATTGTTGCCAGTGGCATTATTTTTGTCATGTTTCACACTTAATACCATTTATGTTCCACCCTCTGCTCAAAACACAAACCATTAGTTCCTTTGAACTCATTTCTCTTCACTTGTGTGTTCCTTGTCTTGGGACTTAATTCAACACATTAGACCCTAAATATCCATTAGGCCAAACTGATGAATTTGCATGAGATTCCTGCCAGTCAAAATGACTATGCCATGCAAAACTCAGCTTTGATTAGAAAGGCCCAGCTCCAACTCCCTAAGTGATATTTCAAACTCAGAGCAGAATCTAGTTTCAAAATTACATTAATCGTCCGGTGTCTAAGAAATGTCTGTACTCCCACTGCAGTAATACCTAAGCATCTTAAAATATTTCATGTCTTGACATCATAATGGTGTTTTTACTTAATTGGAATCTGAAGCACAAAGTGCTGAGTGATTTGCTCCAGGTCTCACAAAATAGCCTTGGAAGAAAAGAAAATTAAATCCAGATTTCCTGAGTAGAACAAAGCAAATGTTTGGGTTTTGGTTTGCTACTTGACCAATAACAAATTAAGGAAAAAAGTGAGTTAACCAAAAACCATTTCTTTCCCACATTTTAAAAATAAATACCTAAATAAAAATTACAGTTATTTTGGGTTTTCAAAACCACCTAATTCTATTTCCTGGGGTTTTATTTTCTTTAAATATCCTCTTTCGCATTACCTTCCTTGTTATTAGCTGATTTTGTCAGTTTTCATATCCAGAAACCCCCAGGAGGTGTAGCTTTGAAAATAGGAATTATTTTTCTGTCCTTTATTTGGTTTGGCCTGAACTCTGCAACCATTCAGTGACTGCTCTTCTGGAGACAAGTAATTTGAGGTGAAAAAAGTGTTCACCTCAGAAAGCTGTCTGTCTCATGCCTTGGTTCCGCGGTGCTGATCTAATGGCATAGGAGCAAATTCTACCAGACTGAACCAGAACCAAGTACCCAGTCCTCCCCTGGAACCTTCTCACACAGCTCCCCTATCTGGAAAATATCAAAGCAGCTCCCAGTTCACTTGGGTGAATTTTCTGTCATCCCCCTGCAGACAAGAGGAAATAGCTGACCTATATGACCACAGCAAAAATCCCACATCCTCAACTCTAATAAGGCTAGTAAAGCCCAAAATTGCAGTAGTCGGACAGCTCTTGGGACAGCATGTTTCAGAAACACTAGCCATGACCTCCAGGGAAACTGCATTCCTGGTGCCATGATTGTTAAACACCTTCCACAGTTCTTTTCCCCAAACTCCTGTCTTTTTCTTGCTCTCTAAAATCTCATTAGATCCTTCAAGAAATGCACAATGGGACACTGTTGAAATATAAGCCAGGAGGCTGGGGGAGGAGCTGGAGATAAAAAACTAACTTTCCTTTTAGACATAGAATAAGACAAGCTGACAAAGAGGCAGTGTTTCAGAGCCAAGGAGTCTTTTCTGAGCCTTCTTGTTTGATGTGAGGAGCTCAGTTTGAAGACAGCAAGTACGGTTATAGTATCTCCCAGAATTAGTTAACCCTGTATGGCCCTGGCTTTTAAAAGACAAGTGTAAGCTACAAATACATTTCTCTGTAGCTTCACTTTTTCAGTGACAAAGCAGGAATAATAACTAATGCAATGAATTGACACTAAGCCATTTCATATATTGTGCTAAAAGTAGCTGTATCAGAATGACAGTATCTTTAAGCTACACATCTGCCTTAATGACCTTGGATTATTAAAACAAAAAACATTAAAAAATCATTCTCGTCCTCTTTTTGGTATTCTTTGTTCTTTGCAGTTTGCTGTGTTTGGGCAATGGAGCGAGGCAGGGCAGTTTAGTTTCCTGCTAGTTTTACACAATTTCATGTTTTGATTTTAGTATAGAAACAAATGTTTGTTGTGGGATAGATTCACAATAGTACAGGCAGACTTCGAAATTATTTTAATGCAACCCTCAGTTTACATAATTGATGGGATTTGTTTATAAATCATGAAAATATTTTACCTTTTAAACACTTAAAAAAAAGTTTGGCAGCAAACCTATGTTTTGGACTGAGTATGTGGAACAGAACTCAGGAAAATCAGCAAATCGGAGGCTTTTTGTAATCTACACAAGTGTAAATCCAGAGTGATTTTACCAATCGTAGTGACATTCATTTGCATTTACAGCTATGTAGAATTATAATGTCTGTTATTTTGTTATTCTTGGGCAATAGCTGAGACATCTTAGCTTGCGTTAAGACTTTGGCCCAGTTTAAATATTTTATCCTATTAATATAATGTTTAACTATGCAAAAGAATCTGGAGAGGAACAGCAATTTGGGACAAATTATTTAAAATTCAGTGAAATCAGTGGTGCCAGTGTTAAGATTATGGAGAGCCTGGTTGGATGCCGTTGTGTGGTGTAACTCATCAGCACAGAACAGAAAGATCCCCACAACCATACTGCATTAATCTTTCCCCGGGTGAGCACATGGTGAGGTGCAACTGAGCAACAACTGCTTACCGAGTCCTTACCTGACCACCTCCACCACCGTTGTCATCATGACTAACTGCTGTACACTTTTCTCCCACCCCAGCTGTAAGTTAATATTTTTATTTCGTTACCAGTTAAGCCAATACAATTTTATTTCATGTTAGTTACAAGCTAGGAGCACCTGCACAGTCAGTTTCCACAGCTCAGCTGACACCTGACAATTGCTGCAACCTGTCTGTGTATCCAAGCCCCAAATATTCAAAGCAGGATTTACAGCCTCCAGCTTTGGGAGATGCAAAAGGCAAAAACCGCAGGCAAACACACCCCCAGGATGTTAAACTGTAATAGTCCAAGCACAGAAACTTTCTTGCACTGGAGTCTGCTTACAGTTATAGCTTGTACTCTTCTGTCATACCTACTAGTGCTTTTCCAGCACAGATCTACTGGAGAATGCCCAAGTTTAGAGACTGGGACACAGTTTCTCCATTTTATATGTACTGAGCACACTACCTCTTTTAAGAAGCTAGCTTTTTCAAATGTGGGTTTGTGAGCTGTCTGAAGACATGCTGCACACCCTCCTGGCCTGCTGGCCCACCAGCCAGTCAGCCCAGAAACTGCAGCGAAGATTTTGCTTTGCTGTACGCTTTCCGTGTGAGTTTATGCAAGCCACCTAACCAGTCTGTGCCTCTGGCCCTCGAGGACTGACGGGTACAAGCTCATCCTGGGTGCAGCAGTGGGGTTTGTAAGGGATAGGTGCTATGAAATTAGTCTTGTTTAAAACTGACACTTTGCGTTTTCTGCACCAGGACCGAGGAGACTCCCAAGTTCCTCAGCCAGGCTGTATAGTTGAAAAAATGCAAGACTCAGAGCATTTCCAACCTGTGAGAGGTTTTTCAGTATATCCCCAGGTCAAAATCCAGCTTGTTCGGCAGGGACTCACAGCCGAAGGTGACGTGTTCATATGAGCTCACTGGGACAAATCGTCTTTCCTTCCACTGCATTCACTTTTCCCTCACATAATGTGCCTCTGTTTTGCAGCTCTGGTGAAACAGTTACCAGTGTGACAAGCATGTCACCTCTACAGCCCAAGAAGGTAAAGAAAAAGAAGGAGAAAGAGAAACTGGAGCAGCCACCAGCCATCCCAGTAAAAGGTATGAAAATAGAGATGCAGAGGTTTCGAATCCCAAGCGCAACCGTGGAGGGACAGCACAGCATAGGATGCCAGGAATCCTGTGCTCTGCCACTGACTCTGCCTGCGAGGTGACCTGTGCTCGCTCCCACCACTGGGGGAAGAAATGGCCCATGCCTGCTGCTGGGAACGGGCTCTTGCCTCCCTGCAGCTTTAGCTATTGAAAAGCTACTCACTGAGTCCGAGCAAGAGGTCTCAGCTCCCACTAATCAGACCAGAGAGAGGAACCTCTGTAGCAGTATTCATCCTGCTCAAAGAGAAGATTAAAGTTAGGTAAGATGAAATTTCTTGTTGGAGGTAGACTGAGGGAAGCCAGCACATTGCACTCTTAGAATTGCAGGTGCACTTGAGAAATCAAGCAAGGTGAGAAGATAAAGATCAACCTCTTGGAAAACCTCACTTGCAAAGAGGATTTGCAATTGCCTCCAGGGTCAATCACAGAAACCCTTGGGTGTACTTTGTGAACACTGCCAGTGCTGAGCCACTGCGAGACAGGAGGGAAAGGACCTGAAGGTTTACTGTGCATTACATTACAAATTAGCAGACCTCAAGAGGTGTATTTGCTCTGGCTTCTGCACACAAACAGCACGTTTTGCATATCAGATTCTTTGATCTTATGAATTTTTCTAATTCATAAGCCCTATATTTCATTGTAAAATATCTTACCTGAAATACAGTTAAACTCTAGTATAAGTACATGTATGTGCTCCTATTCCACTATTAATCTGTAATCTATAGACTGCTAATGCATATACTAAAAATGACAGTGAATGATGATAATATGAAATGATCCCTTAATATTTATTTCCATAGCTCCAATAGCCAATAATTTTTCTAAGCCCAAGCTCTTGAAACCTCAAAGAAAATTGATCCTGGTAAGTAATTTTCTATGACATTATTTTCTCCATATTCTTCCTTCTTAATACAATTGCTGTAATATTGCCAGAACTCTAGATTCAGAAACTATAAATTGGCTTAAAAATCACACAGGTCCTTTTTTCTAAATAGTACTTTTTCAAGTGATGAATTGTCTTGGCTCTTTTCATTTTGAGCATTAGGTTACACCGGATTATATTTTCCAGCTTTCTAGTAGTCATCGTGTCTACAGATTTAGCCTGTTCTTAAATGAAACCTGCTATTGATTCTCACAGGCTTCTGGCAGCTGGTGCTTTGGAAAAAATACCAGTTACTGACAGAATCAAACTGCATTGGTCACACTGCTTTTGAGACTTTTCAAGTCAGAAATGGGGGACCTGTTTCTGCCCTACAGTGATGTAAGTCAGGAATAACTGAAGTTGCAGGAATGAGATGTATGTATATAGCTCACATGAAGGAAAAGAAAAACACATATGGCAGTTTCTGCTGGATATGAGTTTCTGTATGAAAAAAAACAGCAGATATTTGACAAATCAAATAGATGGAGAGATGTTTCTCTGCTTCAGTAACAAATACTTGGACAAGATATCCGAGGGTAATAGAGTTTTATACCAACTATTTTCAGCTGCCTATAGAAAGAGACTGGTCTGCTAGGCTCCCTGTAAAGTCAATAGAAAGATGAATTAGAGTAGGAGCCTGATGCTCCTACTAATTCAGACTAGATGCTCTGAGTTGCCTTTTGGGGATCCTTTCTCCCTTCTCTGGCAATAGAGAGACCCCAGAGTGACTAACTCCTCAACTTAGGTTGAAGGTGGGTGTTGCAGTTTGGCCCATGGCCGGCAACAAAGGACCACGTGGTCGCTCTATCCCCCTCCCTGCCCCAGGAGGAGAATGGAAAGAAAAAGGCAAAAACTCATGGGTGGGGATAAGGGCAGTTTAACAGAACAGCAAACGAAGTGAACAGTAACAACAGTAAGACTGATAAGAAGAATATACAATACAAACAGTGAAATGCACAGAGCAACTCTCACCGCCGGGTGCCCTATGTGCTCCTGAGTCGCGACTCCCTTCCCCCTGCCAGCTCCCCCCACCCAGAACCCAGCATGACGGCACATGGTATCGAATTCCCTGTTCTGTCTGGCTAGGTAGGATCAGCCCACCAGGCTGTGTCCCCTCCTGGCTTCTGGTGAAAATTAATCCTGTCCAGGCCGAACCCAGGACAGTGGGTACCTAAGGTTAGGCCATGGGAGTAACCCAGACTCCTCTGTGATGGCTTCACTTTCAGATGAGGTTAGAATTGGGAGTCTTCCCACCAATTGTCAGTAAAAAACCTCTGCCCTTTTAAGCATCGTCAGGGTACAGCCCAGGATACCTGGGCATAATGCCAGGTGACTTTATTGCTGCTCAGCTAAAATCATAGGCAATATTGCTGCTTGGGTATGGAGCTCACCTCTCCTCTGCTGGTCCTGCAGGGATTGCACCTTGGCCACGCTTTGCTCATACAAGTCAGGTTTCAGTGGAGGAAGAGGCAGAGTTTTAAAAGTCCACAAAACACCCCCTTATATCCATGTAGGTAATTGTGTCAGGCCAAAGCTGTGCTGAGAGGACAAAGACACAGGCGAGAGCGCTCGGCATCAGGGGATGACAGCCACACACTGCATTAATCACTGCACCCAGGCACGCGGCTACATCTGAAATCAGTTGGTCTTCAGCCTTCCTGGGAAAAGCTCTTATCAGTTAAAGCACTCAGACTGTTCCTGCAGGTCAGTAAAGCACATCAGCATATGCTGAACTTGAGGGAAATCTGTTTCCTTATGCTTTTTCATTCTGGAATAAATCCAAGGATATGGGCCACAAATAGCTGTTTGCTCTTCCCTTCCTGCTATGCAACCACAGTTAAGGTTCAAACTCTCTGGGGGCAAGCAGGATAAAGCCTTTTCAGACAATGAAATCAGCTGTGTCTTCCCTAGCATAACAGAGGATCCACACGCTACGTGCAGCCGGCAGGCTCGGTTTTAATGCCTTGCTGTTGGACTCGAGTCTGGCAGCTGTTTCCATAGGTTGCTCTTTTCCCTTTCATATTTCACCTCCGAGTGCACCTGGAGAGACCTTGCAGCCTGCACAAAACACACATCTATAGGCATGAGCTAGTTTTAAGTCAAAAAATAATCCAACAAATATTATCCAAAGGATTTTCCACACCCAAACTCACCTTGCAATAAAGTGCAATAAAGGGCAAAGTAAACTAAACCCAAGTCAGTCTATAAGGCACATTCAGGAGCTGACCAGGACACTCCCCATAGCCATTTCCCATTTCTGTTCCTCTTGCCTTCCTTTACAACACAGTTGGTTAAGCTTCCATGTTTTAGTATTCTCAGAAAAAAGAAAAGAATAAATCATTTTTTTCTGCTTTTAAATTATTTTTTGGTGAGGAAATTAAACTGATTGAAGTAAAAGAAGTTTCAACAAAGATACAAAATGGTGATAGTTACAGAGAAAAATACATATCACATTCATCTAAACGAAACATTTTACTGATTTTCAGCAAACTTATCTCCCCATTTTCTTAATTTTCAGAAATATCGCAGATTTCAGATTTCAGTCTGCTTTGGGGCAAAAAAATATTATCATCATCCTGCCAAATCTCTGCAGGATAAAATAACTTTGTCTTTCCAACTGTAATTATTGCACAGCTGGTGTCTGCAGTAGGTCTTTTTTCACTGATGGCATGTAGTTACTAGGTAATTGTACTGCAAAGACAGACTTAAGTTGCTGAGTTTCTGGATTTCTTCTGCAGCTTCCCTGTACAATCCAAGGAAGATACCACACCAGAGCACCAGAAAAATGTTCTAGAAAACCTAAGCAAACAAGCTAGAGTATAGAGGAACATTACAAAATAATTCCAGTGTTTTGGGAAATTTTTCGTAATAACCTAAATACCAGCAAAATGATATCCAGAGGACATGTGCTTCTGGTTTCTTGAAAGATGTTTACAATAAGCTAGAGAATTTCTTTTGTTGTTAACATGCTAGAGAGTGTTGCAGTAAAATTTTACAAGAATACAATAACCTGGATAAAATATGGACATAATCTCAATGAAAATTAAAAAAAAAAAGAGAGAAAGCCTAATATCATGTTCAATTCCACAGCCTTGAATAAAGCCTTTTAAAAACTCTGCTTAAGTTATATTGCTTTTGCTTTAGCCAGAATAGCAATTCTATTCTCCCCTTGTTGCAAAAATATTCCCCATCAGTGTCATTCTCTATTAGCATCAATGAGAAATGTGTACAGATGAAAGGAAATAGAGATGCTGAAATGCAAAAAGGGATGGTTTTTATAGCATGCAAGAAGCACAGAGAGCCATTAGGAAGAAGAAAATTTTAGGGGCTCACAAATCCTGCTCTCCAAGGGCTGTTTTGCTATAGCCTCAACTACTTAGCCCTTTGAGTTGGTAGAGATGAATCTTATACTTCCTCAACCAAAATTTCTGGTAAGCCTTTCATTACCTCCTAGAGATTAGTTGTCATAGCCCAAGAGTGTGAGTTACAGAATATCATCAAAATGAAAAGGTTTCTGTGTCTTTTGGTGAAGGTTTGCACCACGAAGCTTAGGAGCTGCTGTGTGTTTCACTAGAGCGAATGGAAAGGATGTGACTTCAGATTAGGCCAAATCCTGCAATCTTTGCTTATGCAAAATTTTTGTAGACTTCATCATTTTCACACTAAATTTTAAGGGAGGGAATACCTGCACAGGTAAGACAGGCTATAGGGAATCTTCCTCATTCTGCCACTGAGTTATATGGCCTCTGTTAAGTCATGTAATCATCCCACTTTGAAATCAGGTAAATGTCTTGTATTACAAATGATCCCCTTTGGCTTAGTTCTTCAAACACGTTGTACATGTAAAGCACACAGTACACTGAGAGTTGGCTTCTGCTGTTCCTACACTGACCAATCTCTTAAATAACCTCTTTGCTGGAGTGTGTCTGGCTTCTCTTGTTCCTCACCACAGAATACATATTGGTCCTGTGTGCCTTCTGAAGCAGAGTGTTTTTAGTGACCATAGCTGAGCTATTTAAGAGAAGCATCCTTATACCTTCAGCTCACACAGCGTAGATGGCATTGGTTATGTCAGCATGGACTGCATCACTGGTGGCCCAGTGCCACACAATTGCTGAGATTCTTTTTTGTTGATGATGCTGTAAAAGCTGCATGAGAAGCGGGAAGAACTTATGGTTGTCTAAGACTGAGTGAAATTTCTGGAAGGCATTTTGTTAACATTGAGTGAAAGCATAATCTTTGACACCCATTCTACCTGCCTGCTTTTTTCTTGCACCGCATACTTTTTATGCTGAGATTTGCAAAGCCAGTTGAGAGATGTGGATTCCCAGGTTTTTACAGATGTAACAGAAATGGGAGGCTCAGGGTTCTTTCTGCATCTTTGAAAATCCCATCCTTATTTATCATTGCAGGCTAAGTGCTGACAATGTGCTGAGTACCAGCCAGTGCAGGTCAGGACAGTCCCTGCGCTGAAAGTGTTTGCTCTATAATGAGTAACATGTCTGAAAAGTCTGGAATTTGCAAGTATTCATTCAAAGGACAGCTTCCCTGCCTCTGCCACGTCCATGAAGCAGAAGGGTGCTGTTCTGAGCAGGAACTTGGCATAGGTTTGACACCTGTCATCTACACGTACTCAGCAAAATCAAGCTTTCAACATTACACATTTAGCTCAGTGTTCTACATCAGTGTATAATCCTGCATGAAGCACTGGAGACACATGCTCCTAAAGCTGCCCGGAAGATTAAGTTTCCTTCACCTGAAAAATCCTTTCAACTTCTAGGTTTCAGGAATATGTTTCCCATTGTACAACAAACAAATACATCCACTGTATATTAGAGCCAAGACCTTGGAGTCCTTTTGGGAAAGGGTCTAGATGTGCAAGTGATTTATCTGCAGTCTGATTACCATGTCAGAGCTGTGAAATGTAAAGAGCAGCTTTT